AGAGAGAGAGAGAGAAATATGGACCAAACAAACAATTACATACAAAATAGAGAGAGAGAGAGAGTTTGGAAAAACAAACTTCAATAGAAATTAAGACAGAGAAAGGAAGAGAGAAGGGATACCTGCTGAGGAACCCACCAAAAGAATTCTATCAGTACAGAGGTTCTGAGAAACCCAATTACAAACACTGATAACATCATTAATCTCTGATGAACCAGTGAGAGAAGCTCTCCCTGTGGATCTACCAGCCCCCCTCATATCAAAAGTAACAGCTTTATAACCTCCCTCTACCAAATTCAAAGCAATCCCTTTAAGCAAACCTTGACAACCACCCAAAACTGTATATGGGTGAACCAATACAACCGCTATATCACTCTTTGCTCCAATGGGTTTGTACACTCTAGCCTGAAGTTTAACCCCATCACCTGTTTCAACTGTGTGGAATTCAGTAATGGGGTTTGTCATCTTCAAATCTTTATGGTTTTTCTCTCTTTTGGCTTTGTTTTTTCTGGTTGTGCAATGGCCGTCTAGTGAGAGAAATGCAAAGCAATATTCAAGAACAGGGATTTATGCCGTCCATAACACCTTACTGCCTGGCTGGATGGGGAGAACCAATATAGAGCCCCCCCCCCCCAACTCTCTCTCTCTCTCTCTCTTTAACAGGCATTAGTTAGCATATTCACTCTCTCTCTCTGGTATGTGTATCTGTGCTCGTTTTTGCAGTGAAGGTAAAGGTTATGAGTTTCTCGAAAGAAGGCTAAACATTAGTTGAAATGGCTCCTGAGTCCTTACTAAATTCTTACAATATAATGGAAAGTATAACATAAGACGATTTACCTTTTAGTACGTGATGACAATTAATATTTGACTATTAAATGTGAAATTAAGTGATTATATTTATTTTATTGACTAAATTCAAAATTTAAAATAAATTTTTTTAAATTTTGTCACACCCAAGCTGTTAAATTTTACATTCGACATTAGATGTCTTGCTGAATACCATCCCATATATAATACGACATTACCGCATTGAGGCCAGAATTTCCAATGAATTTGGGCCCTAAGTTAATGACGGGCTCGTCTAAGCATGCAAAAGTTTGGCCACCAAGCGAATTTAATAATTGGAAATTATCCATCTTTTATATTTGCTTACAGGGAAGTTTATCAAAATAATTGTAAAATATAAATTTTTAATAAATTACTCATTTTTTTAATTTAATTTTAAAATACCCATAAAAAAAAGAAGTATAATCATGGTATAGAATAGTTGAAAAAAAAGTAAGAGGCAAGCTTTTTATGCTTCCCCTAGTGCATAAAATTTATATGCTTGCCTTTATCCAACCGTATATTTTGAATGAAAGGTTAAGATTGCCCCAAACACAATATCAGTTTCTACACTATTTTATTTTTTATTTTTTATTTAAATTATTTTACTCTAAAATTTGGACGTCCAATCCTCTATTAAACTCACACTAGCGAAAAATATAAAAAAAATATTTTCAATAAAATAAAATGCCCAAAATACCTCTGAAAGTTTCAAGGGGTATTTTGGTTATTTATATTTTATCAAAAAATTATTTTTAATATT